AAGAGTTCAGCTGCCCACCCTGACATCTGCAACGAGCCCGTTTTTGGCTTTTTTAGCAGGTTCTGGCCTAGCACAGACCCCTGTAAGGGCAGGGTCTCACCTCAGCCCTTCTCTCTGTTCCCCAGTGCACGAAGACCTGCGGCATTGGCATGAGGATGCGGGATGTGAAGTGCTACCAGGGGAAGGACATTGTCCGGGGCTGCGACCCGCTGGTGAAGCCCGTGGGCAAACAGACCTGTGACCTGCAGCCCTGCCCCACGGAGCCCCCAGGTGAGCCCCACCACGGGCAGCACCCCCAGGCATTGATTTTCCATCAATCCCCCTTCCTGCCAAGCAGCATCACCCAGCATCTTAGGTTCCACTGACCCCAATTTGATCCTTATCCCAGGGAGGATGTAAAGGGGACAGCTCTCCTGCTGTGCCCGAGTCATGGGCACCGTGCACTGGCTATTTCTGGAGGCAACCCTGCTAAATTAAGGGGAGAGTTTAAAATCAGAGAGGTCTGACCTTAAGGGAGCTTTGGAGAGCTGACTCGGGCGCTGCTTCTGTGTGATTCCAGCTCATGCTGAGGAAGTTCTCATCTGTGCCATTATTTTAATGACTTTTGGTTCCCAGATGTCCTGGGGGATTTGTAACTATCTCGTTAGCTGACTCGTCTGCTGGCTCGAAGCCCCTGTGATCTTTAGTGAACACACGGTTCTAATTCTTTAATAGGATTGGAGAATAAGGATGGGGTGGGAGAAAAGCAGGAAAATGGGAGGCAGGTTTGGGGCTGCCCCCTGGCTGGGCTCTGGACCTGCTGGGTCCAGAGCTGACCTCTCCTGCAGGGTCTGGGGATTGCCGTGGTGCTTCTGAGGTGCCTTGTGGTCTCACCACAGCAACCTGCCTGCCCCAGGAGCAGCCTGGTTTCATGGATTTTAGGCAAAGGGTATGTGTAGATAACTAAATCCTACGGGTTTGAAGCAAAATACTGCTCTGAAGGGAGCTGGGAGTGCTGAACTGGTCTCTGGCCTCCTCCTCCTCCTCTCCAGCAGCTCACTTGCCCCAGACTCCTGCTGTAACACTACTGGATTCCTGTTCCCTTTCTCAAATAGCCTCTTTGGGGCAGGAATTGTGTATTTGGGTCACCCTGTGTCCTGCCATGGGAGGCCCTTGGCCTGGGAGCAGCTCAGTGCCAGGCTCCCTTGGTGGCTCCAGCAACCCCTGGGCAACTCCATTTCCCAGGGAAGACCTTCAGTTTTGGGGCTGGGACCAAGTGAGACTCCATAGGCCAGATGTGCTGAAACAGGTCAATATTCTCATGCCTTTGCTTAGGTTGATGATGATATTTATGGAGAAGCCCCATGGTGCTTTCCAGGGGATGCTCTGCCAGGTATCAGGGAGGTGGCAGTTGCAGCCAGGGTGATTTGTTGTCCAGCCCATGGTGTTTAGGGCAGGCTGTGCATGGGGCAAGATGAGGTTGTTAATTTACAGTGGTTTGTTTAATGAGTCTAGAGGAGGGACACAAAGATGATAAGAGGGCTGGAACACCTCTTCTATGAGGGCAGGCTAGAGCAAAGTAGGATCTGGGGCGACCTTATGACAGCCCTCCAGTATCTGAAGGGGGCCTACAAGAAAGCTGGGGAGGGACTTTTTACAAGGCTTGTAGTGATAGAAGGAGGGGTGATGACTTCAGGCTGGAAGAGGGGAGATTTAGATTAGAAATGAGGAAGAAGTTCTTCACCCTGAGGTTGGTGAGACACAGGCACAGGTTGCCCAGGGAAGCTGTGGATGCTCCATCCCTGGATTTATCCAAGACTGGGTTGGATGAGCCTTGGAGCACCCTGGTCCAGTGGGAGACGTCCCTGCCCATGGCAGTGGGGTAGGAATTAGCTGCTCTTTAAGGTCCTTTCCAACCCAAACCACGCGCTTTCCCTTCTCCCTATCAATGCCTTTTGCCTTCTCTCCCTAGACGACAGCTGCCAGGACCAGGCAGGAACCAACTGTGCCTTGGCCATCAAAGTGAACCTGTGCAGCCACTGGTACTACAGCAAAGCCTGCTGCCGCTCCTGCCGTGCACCCCACTCCTAGTGCCCCCACCCCCCGAGACCTGAGCTCTCCTTAGCTGAGTTTAACAGGGGGGGGAAGCTGATTTTCATTTGCTAAATGAGCCCGAGCCCTTTATTTTGTAATATGTAGGTGTATACTTTCTCAGAGAATTTTATCTTGTAACCAAACGTTAGCTCCATAGTCCCTACCCCCCCTCCCCCTCATGCTGACATATTGTATATAATATGGAAACATAACTGCACTTTATATCACAAAAAAGACGTGCTCTTTTTTAATATATTTGTTTACAGACAGTGAACTTTATCCGTATAACCATTAATTTGTACTCATATGTATATTTTAATAAAGTTGTCATATTTATGGTGGTATCTTGTTTTATTCTCCAGTTTGTAGCGGGGAACTTGGGCTCTGAACTTGCTGCTGCCCAGAAGGAGCAGAGCAGCTCTAAGCTGGGGGAAATCACAACTGCTTGGACAAGGATGGAAAAGAAAGTCCCAGCAGCAAAGATGGGGATTTTGGGACCCTTGCTCTGCGTTAGGAGCTCTTTGGGGTTATGTGTGTGGCTTTAGGAACTGCAACTCAGGAATCTGCAAAGAGGCTTGACATGGGGCCAGGAATAAAAGGGCCTTTCCGTGCTCCCAAGGGGGTTGTTCTCTGTTTCTGCAGGGGGGACAAAGGCTCTCCAGCATCCCCCCCCACCAGTGTGTGCACCCCAGTTCCTGCTGCATCACTCCTCTGGGAAAGCTTTCCAAACAACCCCTCATGTTTGAAGGTGCAGGGACAAAAAGATGAGCCTCAAAACCCTTGCCAAAGTAGTTTATTTCCTTTTTTTTTGTTTTGTTTTGTTTTTGTTTGGTTGGTTTTATCTTTTTACCCCCCTCTGTGATTCCCAAAGTCCTATACAACAGATCACCAGGTAAAGGTTAGTGGAATGCCAACTGTTTGCTTAGTTTCCAAGCTACACAGGAAGGAAAAAAAGGGAAGAAAGGAAGAAAGGAAGGCTGGCAAGAGAAGTATGGTGATGAGGAATGCAAAGAGGAGGGCTCAATGTGTGGAGACAAACCCCAGTGAGAACTGTACACAGGGGCAAAGGCCCCCCTGGGCTGTGGTGCTGCAGGGACCAAGCCCAAAATATTAAACACGTATGAAACCAAACCCATCCCCCCC